AAAACTAATTCTGAATTTACTGCATTCCAGTCAGTTACTATTAGTCATGTTTGTCTTTTATTACGTGAACTGTCTGGTAGCGAAGCTACTGGCCTGGATAAAATATCCAGCAAGATAATCAAAATTGCTGCACCATTAATTTCCGATTCATTGACTTACATCTTTAATCAAGCGATAACTTTATGTACTCTTCCACATGAATGGAAAATTGCAAGGGTAATTCCCCTTTTTAAGAATGGCAAACGAAACTTGCCAGGAAATTATCGACCAATTTCTGTGTTGCCAGCCATTAGTAAAATTATGGAACGTATCCTATATACTCAACTTTATGAGTATTTGAGTGCAAATAACATACTTTCCGAACATCAATTTGGTTTCAGAAAATTTCATTCAACTGCAACAGCTTTACTTGATTGCACAAATGATTGGTACATAAACATGGATAGAAAACTTTTTAATTTGGTTGTATTTGTAGACTTAAAAAAAGCCTTTGATACTGTTGACCATGAGATCTTATTGCAAAAACTAAAACTAGTTGGAATCACAGGAAGTGCATTTCTATTACTCAAATCATGCTTAACTGGTCGTACTCAAAGATGTGAAGTCAATGGATCTATTTCAGGGGAAAATGACGTCAAATGTGGTGTACCCCAGGGGTCTATATTGGGGCCACTATTCTTCTTACTCTATATTAATGATCTACCTGCATGTCTGAGTAAAACAAAACCACGGCTGTTTGCTGATGATACAAATATCACAGCAGCTGGAGAATGCTTAAGTGATCTTGAAGATGCAGTAAACTCAGATTTAGAAATGCTTCGTAAATGGCTCATGGCAAACAAACTGAGCTTGAATGTGGCGAAAACTGAATTTCAAATTATTGGTACTAAACAGATGCTGAAGAAAGCTTCTGTTCAGCAACTTAAAATTCACATTCAAAACATACCCATAAAGCAGGTTTTTCAATGTAAAACACTAGGTGTGACTGTTGATGAAAATTTGTGTTGGAAGAGCAATACAGATAATATATGTAAAAAGATATCATCTGGAATATACGCTCTTAAAAGCATTAAAGAATATGTTGATCAAAAAACACTCGTTTCCGTATACAATGCTATAATTCAACCATACTTTAGCTACTGTTGTGAAGTTTGGAATATATTTGGTGAAACGCAATCCACGCGTCTCCAAAAACTTCATAACAGAGCTGCTCGTGTAATAACATGTGTGCCTAATGAGGTAGATCAATAAACTGTGCTAAATATATTAGGATGGGAACCACTCAAGGAACAAAGAGTGAAAGCAAAGGCAAAAATAATGTTTAAAACGCTAAATAACATGGGGCCAAATTGTCTCAAAGAATTATTTACTTTCAAAAAAGAAATATTAAACCGCAGTCTTCGTAACAGCTCAAGTACCATACGTTTGCCCAAGCCAAACACAAACAATATGAAAAAGAGTTTCATGTATGATGGAGCTTCCATATGGAACTCTCTTCCAAAAAATATAAGAGAAAGTAATTCGCTCTCAAGTTTTAAAAGAAAAATCGCTACCTATAGCTTATAAAGAAAACCACATCATTGTAAATAGCAAACTTTTTGTATATATTTTAATAATTTTATATTCTGCATGTTAATACTTCCTTATTATTTTACTTGTAACAATTTGTTAATGTTTTTTACACGCCCATTGTGGAAACCAGGTTCTGCTGACAATGTTAGCGTGGTTAAATAAAGTTTATCATCATCATCATCAGAAATCACAAGACAAAAAAAAATTCCGCTCAGCGCGCAAAATTTCTCCTTTTGCATAATTAGCGTCTACAGGACATGATATTCTATCTTTGCCGTGTTGCGCGCGAAGTAGTTAGAAAGTCTAGACAGTTTAGAAATTGCGAAGCCGCGCAATACACTCATCGTACACAAAATGTAGAGTATTTTTCACAGGAAAACATAATCTGTTTTCCTGTAAAAATACTTTGTTTAAATGAAAAGGCTTACCAACATTGCGAAACAAAATGGCGAACTAAAACAAATGTTGAAACGCAAAAAGAAAAAGAAATAGAAATCAAACCAGTTTGATTACTTGGTTAGAAAATAGATTCTTTATTTTCTGATAAGAGCCTTTAGATTGAAGTTAAGACATTTACAGTTATCAATTTGCAAGCGCATTAACTGTGAATGTATCAAGAAATGATGTTAAGTTTCTCCTAAAAGGAGACAGGACCATTTCTTTTAAAATATTTGCTGCTCTAACGCGCGCGCGCTCTGCCACAAGTTTCTGATCAAAAGACTGCCACGTACAAATGGGATGTTTTCACATGTTGCTTCTTTGACGGGCAGAGTCCTAAAAATAAAAATTGTTTTATTCATTTTGATGTTTTGTCGTGTCCAACATGGTATCCATAAAAACACTCCACAAATCAGCGACAGATTAAGCCCATGAATGGTCATCGCAGCAACGTAGGGTGTTTGCCATGTTGCATTCAGCGTTGCCGTCAATTGGTCATACATCAGCTTGGTCGTAATGATTTAACATAATTTATTATAAGCTGCAGCGCTAGGTTTGGGTACAATGCGTACCCACGCGTGATGTATGCCTAGTTTGAACTACTCATTTCAATGGGTTTGTTTTGTGGGAAAATACCACGTATATTTATTTGGCAAAGTTTTTAATCGGCAAGTCTGTATCTTTATCGGTTCAAATAGTATTATGAATTGTATGCTATTTGCACTGAATATCCGGCTTAAAGCTCTTAATGCTTTCCCAAATAAGGGTGGTGTTTTTTCAAAAAACAAAACCGTATCCACTACCACGCAAGCACGCAAAGAACTGTCGTTCAATCAAACTGTGCAGATAATTGGGCACTCGCATTGTTGCGCAAAATTCGGACAACAAACCGCGCTTTTCGTGCGATATTATTTAGCGACAAGTTGCATGAAAAGCACTCGAGAGCAAGACGCAAGAAATGCACACATCAAAAAGCATCCAAACGTCCAAATGTCTTCTGTGCTGCGGAATACCTTAGGGCGTTGGATCCACTAATCATTTTTGAGAATATTTTTTGTTTAAAATATTCTTTCTGCAAAACAAAAAATAACAAGTAAAGGAAGCGACGCCCTTGTGCCTCTGAACGTCTTTTAGATTAAAAATACGCAATGGTTTCAAGGAAATGATAAATAGCTCTTACTAATAACAAATAATTTGTTACTGTACAAGTAAGACATAATTATCTTGCGCCATTTTTGCAGCCCTATTTTCGGTTGGACTGCATTATAACGCTTTTTGCGCGGTTGAAAGACATTCTCGTACGTGTTTTTTCGTTTGAGTAACCTTTAACTTCAATTCAAGTAGTTTATTATTTTATATTACGTTAATGCGATTCTCGGTAACATATTTCGGACATAGGCATTTCGGACATAGGCATTTCGGACATAGGCGCAGGATCATTCCCCAGGGTGCGGAACTCCGGTGATGTAGAAATCCTCGAAGGTTTTTCCCCCCGGTTCTTTACGCTGAGGGTTCTCCCTCCGTTAGCGACCCGGCCTTCGCGAAAAGTTCTGGTTTTCCCTTCGGTGATTTTCGTTTGGCTTTGATCTAAAATAAAAAAAAAAACAGTGGTTGTGGCTGGGACTAAAGTAGTACTGTTTGCTTAAAAGATGATTGTTCAATACTTTAGTTTAAAAATGAGAATACGGTGTACTTACATGGTGGGCTTTACAGGACAGTAAATTTAACTTGAAAAAGCGAAAAAACTAAACTAAATATCCCTAGTCCATTCATTTGTCTCCCAAATACGAAACAACTATTGAAAAGAAAAATTGTCATATAATTTCCTAATTGAAATCCTCTATTAATCCTCCCTTCAAACAATCGGGACTTCGGTGGCGCCTTTCATCTCTAAGATTGCTGGTCTGATTCTCGTTGCAGACTTGCGACACTTACGTGAAAATATTTAGTGAACTTTCTTCCGAAAGTCCTGGCTTCTTCCGGGTACTCCGGTTTCCTCCCACAGGGAATGTTGAAAAACTGACCCTCCTACCATAGCTGTGCTCCTTGATTTAGACTAGAATCCGATAAAGTGGCTTCCAGAAGCGCACTCACAAAGTTTTGAACTCGATTAGGTCTCAGCTGCTCTCAGCATAATGATGATTAGCACACCCCACTTACTCAAAATGTAGGTGTCCACTTAACATGATCTTGTTTTGTCCATTCACAACAAGGGTAAATCATACCTGGGAAATGTGTGTGAGGCAACGTTTACACAGGGTTTACACTATACCGGATAGCGTGCCATAGTTGCGCGAAAAAGCACCTATCCTCATTAAGCAACCATATTCCATAAAGTCAACATATGTCGGGTACGCCCCCTGAACTGCGCACAACAAAGCCCTGAGCCTGCTTAATAAAGGATTTACCCTAATAAATTAAACGTTCTGTTTACGACTTTCCCAAAAGTTTCTATGCTACTGAGTTCTAGCACACACAGTACTATTTCGTCTATGGGTTAAATTCCTAGAACACTGAAATATTTTCCAAGAAGTCACTGAACTGGTATTAGGGGTTATTATTGAAAAGAAGTTAATTAAATTGACAACCTATATAGTAATTGTATGCATGAATCTTTAACGTTTGTGATCTGTAATCGTGATTTGAAATGTGAGAGAAGTAACAGCAACATTGGGTAGAGGAGACAGGAAATTAGGTAGGAAATTCCGATCTATCCTTATTGATAGTTTTATCCACGATTGAAAAACAAGAATATTTTACTCCCATCTGTCTCTCTGTTCGAGTCTCTCGGGATTTTTTGAAACAATAACCAAATTTTTGGATTGCAATTTCACCTCATTCGCAAATAAGAACGACGCTTCCAAAAACACCGAAGGCGAAGCTTTCAGATGCAAAGATACACACATTTATTGAAAAACGAATCTTCACTTCTTTCACGAAGGGGTATATAACCTTTCTGATCCTTTCTTTGGTCAATATTTTCATAACCCATCTGCTTTTCATGACCCATCTGCAACGTAAAGGATACCACATTCTAACTCGCTCCCTGCCTGTATTGTTTCCATGACATGATCCGCCAAGTAACATGTGAAAAATTGTTGACCGTTCATACGCTTAGTTAAATTTGTTTTCCGTCGAATGTCAATGTTTTCTTTGACGTCATCTCTGGAAACATCAAAAACTCTCGGAAAACAAAATTAACTGGTTTCCTCGGGAGCAGACATTATGCGTGTCTTACATATTGCGAATGTGTTATTGTAACGATGTGAACGTCAGAAACGTACCGTGTCAATGGGTATTGTGTAACTTGGCCCTTGTTTTACAAAATACAAAATGAAAATAACTGAAAATATAAGGTCTTGAAAATGTAAAATATAAGGTCTTAAAAACCCTTCTTGGGGGTGGGGGGTAATGTCCCGAAAAAAATTCAATTTTGAGTCTCTGAGATGGTATTTCCAGCATTTTGAGGATGCCATGCGTCAGAAGTCAATTGCATGTCTTCAACAGTCTCTTTAACACTAACAAAACATGCTGCTTACAAAACATTGTCTCTTCCCCGAACAGATGCCAAATTTTCAGCGACGGCGGCTCTATCTTCCCCGACAGGCGGGCTACTGCCCCTCCCCCCAGGGGAGGCGGAACCGGGGGGCTAGGGGGGCTAAAGCCCCCCCAGAAGTAAAAGTGGGGGGGCTTAGCCCCCCCAGAAAATTTAGTTTTTCCTGGAAAAATTTTGATAATTAAGGAAAAATTTAGGTTATTGTTGAAAATTTAGGTATAAGGGGAGAAATTTCCAATATTTTGTTTAAAAAATTTGTATTTCTGGAAAAAAATTTTGTTACATGTCCGGAAAAAAATTTTTCATCCCTTTTCTCGTATATGTCCGGATTGTCACGGAAAAAAATTTAGCCCCCCAGAATGAAATCTGTTCCGCCGCCGCTGCCTCCCCCCCCCCCACCCCTCTGACGTTACCCTTGGATCGAACATGCAAAATCGACATGCAGACAGAAATATCGTTAAAATTCTATCATGTTTATTTCAGAACCATCCTCAGAGATATGAAAAAGTGAAAAACTATTTTAGAATAAATATGAAACAAGTTTTTTCCTATCAAATTTATTTTATTTTGCTTTTAAAATGAGGTGATTTTCACAAACTGGCATGCATGCAAACACAACCTAATGAAAGAACACTATACAATTAAAAGTAACGATACACAATATTAAATAAACGTTCTATTAAAAGCTATGTTATTGCTATTGCCATGATGGTTCATTATTACATAATCGATTAATAAGAGAAGTTTTTTCAATGTCACGTAACACGCGCTCAAAACTAATGCGTACAATATACCACTTGAGGTTATGACTAAATTCAATTTTTTTATTTTTCGATACGTTTTTCAATCGGTAAAATAAATTAAAAAGTGCATGTTTAGTGCTTTATCCGTAAAATAATGCTAAAATGAAGAGATTTTAGATGATACGCCAAAGAGAAAATGATGTCTGAAGTTTAGTAAGTTTTGCTTATATGGCCGTAAATATATGGCGTCAATTTTAAAGCATCATTGATAATTGTATTTTAATTGACAATTTTTAACTACTATTTTATGTTTCTCAACCAGCAGATTCATTTAAAAAGGTAGCTAACTCTATAAACTAGAGAATAAAGCTAAAACAAAGTAATTTTGACGCCAAAAAGGTTTTAGGTTTTGAACACTTTTCATTGCAAGTTACGCGACATTGAAAAAAATTGCCTCTTAAATTCTTAATCAAACAGTCGATCAGGGCCTGTTTATATGGAGGCAAGGCGAGTTAGAAACAGCGAGATTCCGGATATTATAGAAATTTATAGTAATCCCGAGTGACTGTTTACATGATGCAGCCGAGTAATTTGCCTTGGCGAGTTCCCGGTGAGATAAATATTTTCCATGTAAACACATTGCTTGGATAACTCGGCCGCCCGAGATAGAATGTATGTGCTTTGCATTTGAAATATACTAGCTCAAAAATACATACGAATCGATAGATAAGTTTTCCTGAATTTCTCCGCACTTATTCTTGTATTTTGACGACATTTTGTAATCTTTTCTAACATTTCAAACGACTTAAATCCTTTTTGTGTTTTGGCCCCATTTCGGTGTCATGCGGCAATGATGCAGCAAATGGCGAGTAACTCGGTTCCATATAAACAGAGCGCATGTTTGTCCCGCCTGGACGAATAACTCGCCTTGCCGGGTAAGTCGGCTCCATATAAACAGGCCCTCAAAAACCCGATGACAGTCATGGCCTATATATAGTGCACGATAGAAACGGTGCGATCAAAACAAATGTTTACTATGCTCACTGTAGTAACTATTAGTTCATTCTTGCATCAACAACGTCAGCTAGTTCCTATATAGAATCCTTGCAAATACTACTGTACGAGAATATATCCAAATGCTGCCATGTTCTTGTTATTCAGAACACCACAAACAGCCATATTGCCGCACGTTGTGCTCCTTACGTCATCCTCGCATCCACTTACTGAAGTTCCAAAGCCAATGCACGAGTTACACTATTGCAGTTGTTTTGATTATTTGCCAGCAAACCAATTCGTATGTTCATGTACCACCGCCTGGGTCCACGCGTGTAAGCCTCTTGTATATTGAATCCTTCTACATCACAGTTTTCTTGCAGAGACGAACCATCGATAAGAGACTTCCATGCTTCCTTTCCAAAGGTTGTTCCTTTAAACGTCCCATCTACGATCACACTATGTAACGAGTTGGAGGCGTAGTTTGACGCTATCCATTTTGTAGCACCATTGACTTTCATTCCAAGGCATATTTTGTTAAACGGTGTGTTCCAGTAAGAAGCAAGTTTTGTTTGTTTTTCATTCAAACCTTCAAGTCCATCTTCAACTGCGTAGGTTTCCTTGTTTGTCCAGTAAGGAGAGCTGTAGTTGAAGTCATTCTGCAAAGCAAAAATTAAGTGTACCCATTTTTCTATATATTATTTGTTTGCCATGTTTCTGCATTCAAAGAGATTACGTTAGGATATAAGATTATCCGTATACCTTGTTCCCATCCACTTTCATTACTAATGTCCAACCTCCTTGGCCACATCCAGATAATACAGTCATGTGACAGTAAACTTGATATTGTTCGAGTGAATCTGTATATCGTAGTTGGTAAACACCATTGCTGAGTGATCTATAAATAGTACGAAGTTTTATGAATATTAGCAAGACCAAACTTTGGTCAGAAATTTTAGAGTAAGGTATTTGCGCAGTGGTGCCTACTTTACTTTGAATTTGTACTAGAGTAAAAGTAGAAGTAATTAACAATAAAACGACTTGAACCAATCTCGAAACCAGAGCCCGCAATCCTCTGTGGAGGCTTGCTGAGGCTCTGGGAAACACCGGCGACTTTTGCACGAAAACCAGTACATTTGGATCCAGTACTCCGCTCGACATTTATAAAAAGACATTATATAATAACTACAGTGAAACACGCAATTTGATTGGTCAACAGCCGTGCAGGATCAGACAATACTGCACGGGAAATTCTGAACAGAAATTCTTGCACATAATTTTACAAATATACTCGCATTGTAAAGTTTCATAGTACGATACCTTTCAACTTTGAAGTAAGTTTCCAATTATTGAGACGTTGGTTTAGTTGTATGAATAAGTTTCTGATCGATACATTGCTATTCAGCAAGTAGCAACGCGTAAGCGTTGAAATTCATCAGACCATTGCATGCAAGTACAACCTCTCTCGCTTCAAAGTTGATCAAACGCTTCGCAATCTTCACATATTCAGGTCGAGAATCTTCAAAACTACTTTGGCTCTCTGTTTAGCGGGTTTTCCATTTCAAATTTCGTATATTTTATCGAAAAAGTCCCTGTATTTTCGCTGTATATTTTGCAGGATAGCATGATCCATGCACTTGGGATGTTGCTCGACTTTCGGAAAGCGTAAAAATACACTCGCCTAACGGCTCGTGTATTTTTACGCTTTCCGAAAGTCTCGCAACATCCCGCGTGCATGGATCACGCAATCCTGCACGGAAAACCATTCGGTATTCCTTTATTACTGCCGTCTAACATGAATTATGCCGTTGTGTAAGCTTATTACGACTTTAAATCTTCAAAGAACACTTGCCATGGTTTTGAATTGTTGTAAGATATATACTGGCAGTGATTTATTTTAACTTGTTTAATTACGGTAAATCATGGATTGTTGTGTTATTTTAAATATTATAGGCAACGGCTTATCGTGAGCTTATATGGTAATGCTGCACTGTTGTTATTCTACATTTTGTTATTGGCATATCAATATCTGAATAGTCTATTGATTTCATATGAGAAGCTAGGGACGATTAATAAGTTTATTAAAGTTCTGCTGTGTGTTTCATTGATAATTTGATATGTTTAAACATAATACACAAAGAGAAATAAACTTTATATTAATTTTAAACGATGTTTGAAATTTGAATCACTAAATACGGCTGACAGTTTGAATAATAATTAGCACTTGAAAAACAACCAATCAGAGCCCAATGTTTGCTGGTGTTTCCCAGAGCCTCAGCAAACCTCCTCAGAGGATTGCAGGCTCTGGTTTCGAGATTGGACTTGAACAAGAGTAATAAGTAGTGGAGGCAAAACGTGGTTAAGTAAAAAGTACAAAGTATCCTTAAAAAATACTTGAAGTAAAAAATAAAAGTACTACTTCACCACGTACAACAGAAGACACAAAACAGCACACGCATTATGCGTGAACCTAATATACAATATTTCACGGCATGGTCTACATTCCAGACCCCATTAAAGATATAAAAATCCATTAATTAAATGAATAATGCTTATAAGTAAACCAGAAACAATGACGCATGTAGAGGTAATATTACTTTTTTAATTTTACAATAAGAAATTGAAGGCACAGACAACAGGACTAATAAAGTCCCAAATTAAGTCCTGCCATACATAAAAATACTACGCTATACTATGCTATACTTTACTATAATATAGACTATACTATACTATACTGTACTGTACTGTACTGTACTGTACTGTACTGTACTGTACTGTACTGTACTGTACTGTACTGTACTGTACTGTACTGTACTGTACTGTACTGTACTGTATCTACTCTACTCTACTCTACTCTACTCTACTCTACTCTACTCTACTCTACTCTACTCTACTCTACTCTACTCTACTCTACTCTACTCTACTCTAC